ATGTGTATAGTAAGCCTCTTAAAATCTGACACTAATATATATACTTGGAGAGTAAATATACAGTATACCTAACAGTAAAATAACATAACCTAATACTAACGTATTTGAGTGTAGGTTTTAAGTAGACCTGGTACGGGAAAAATCCTTACCAAGCTATGACAAACACATAACTTCATGTGGTAGAGGATTTTTAGTGAGACAATAGAAAGAAAATACCGTACCTAGCATTAATATAATCTTATTTGCCAGTAGAAGAAGACTTCACATGTCCAACATTTTCGAGCGTAGGTTTTAGACGGACCTGGTACGGGAAAAAACCTTACCAAGCTATTAAAAACTCGTAACTGAATGTAGTAGGGGATTTTCAATGAAAAAGGTCTTTTCGTGCATATGATTAATAAAAAGAAAAGTTTGTCAAAAAAAATTCTAATCTTAAATTAGACCGTAGGGAAGTTGTTGCTGTGTCACAAAGTTTTTTTTAAGTATTTAAACCTATATCAATTGTTTACTTTTAAAAGGATAGAGTAGTGCATTATTTCAATGACCTTACCTTCTATGATTTTTTTCTGCTTTTGTGTTGTTGAATATCTAGGATTCCTATACTTATTACTTATTCGAGATCCTTTTCGCAGAAGTTGAATATCTGTATATACGTTTTCTGTTACGTTGATTATATTACCTGAATTTAACAAAATATATTTCGTGTACTTCATGTACGTTTCTAGTTAACATTTTTAAAAATAGATGTGCTACAACTACGACTAGAAAAATACCAACAATTTGTTGGGAATACTTTTTGACCCCTTTTTTGAATCAAGTCTCAATTTCATCTATTTTCTTCTATTTTTTATCGTTAAATTATGAAAAAAGTATTATTTACAAAAAAATAACTATTATTACTTTATAAAAGGCATATTCCAAGTATTTTAAAGGCTTACAATTGACATATTTCGCACTTACGCGAAAATGCCCATGGTTTTTAATGAATTCCTAGTTGATATACTAATTCACTATAAAAGGCCTCTATTGCATTTGTTGTTCTTAATAGTATTCCAAACACTGTAAGCCCTTCAGGACCAACCATATTTAACCAAAAGTTGTTAAAATACTTTTAAAAACATTTCAACTTTTTTTATGGTTTGCGCTTAAATTTTTAAGTACTCGTTCTGGTGGAATGCATGCGAGTAGTAATACTTTTTTAATGAATGTTTTAGCTTCTTCATTTTGATGTAAATATTTACGTAATTTGAACCGATCTAAATTTTTGTAGATTGCCTTAAAAAAATTAACAGCTGCTGTACTTATTCAGAAATAAATAAGATTAAGCTAGATAACTATAAAATTCTAATGGAAAATATTCCACCAAAAAGGTATACTACATTAACATTTGTCAAATACAGTAAACCTGTGATATTATGACTACAGAAGGAAAGTCATTATGCTGCAGTAAAATTAGGCTTCAAAAAGTACTACGAGGAAATAAGTAGTAAAAACACAAAATATTTAATGACTCTAACGTTAATTTATTCATATATTTTACACATTGTACAGCATCCTTATATCTTATCACTACATATTTTTGCAGATAAGTGTTACTACACAGAGTATCACAGACTTTTTCAGGTATTGTTTTTAGACGTATGTCTTAATTTGTCTTAACCTTAGAATAATGTGCTCATGTATGAACCGTACGCTAATTTTATGAAAACAATATTAATAATCCTAGGCTGACAACTGCACAAGTGTACAAAATTCTATTCAACTGAACAAATCCAACCTGTCATTTAAACTTCAATCTTCCAAATATTTCGGCGACCCGTTAAAGCTGAAAGCGTGTTTCAAAACACGTGCCAAACGGTGAAATACGCTTGAAGTACTTTAGTTCAGTGAAAGCAACGAAAGCCAAAAAAAAATTAATTCTGTTAGCACGTGTCTAACAGATTTTGACCATTAAGGAAAAACAAATGACTGTACTTGTATTTAACAAATATACATTAAAAGACCGTAAATAAACAAACATTTAATTTTAACGCTGTTGATATCTTGAAGGAAATGTTATGAACCTAAAAACTTAAGCTAACTTTGAAATTATTGTGACGTTAAAAAAAAAAAATAAATAATGGAAATCAACTGTTATTTTTACGTTGAAAAATTAATTTTCACAAACCTAAATAAAAAACTTTACATGATGTCCAATGACAGCAAAAGCGTTAATACAATTTAATAATTTAATGGTTCAGAGGACTTGTTAAAAATTACAAGAATCTATCGAAACGATTGAAAAATTCACAATTGAAAAACATTTTTTTAGATGAAAAGTGACTATCAACACTACGACAGTCTTATTTATCCAAATTAAATTTTAGGATACTACGAAACTTGAAAATTCTGGGAAATCTTCCTATACACACGTATCGACACAAAATATACAAATCTTACCACTATCCTATGATAATATCACATTAACACTTGTTTCGTTAACAATACTAGTTACCTAGAGTAATAAATGTGTATTGATTCTTTTAGTTGTGTCAAATCGTATCTGTTGATAAGTCCACAGTTAATCTACAGAGTAATTAAGCACTAGTAATCACATGGAAAAAATGTCTGTTCAAAGTGAATTAATCGAGAGGAACACAAAGTAATAAATACAATTATAAATAACGCAAAACAAGAAGAACCGAAAAAAAAAAAAAAAAAGAAAACGAGATCCATTGTGCACGTTAAAGCCGAAGCTTCCCGTTATCAAATTACGAATCACAACACGATTGGTAATAAATAATATTGACACTGTCAAAGTAACTCAATTGTCGATGGCATCGTGAGTCCTGAGGTTCCAACATCTGTTGAGCATCGGACTCCGCCTGGCCACGTACAGAACGAGCTTGCCCTTTTCCGCGTTCTTGAAAAGCTGGACCACTTGGGCGTGGGTCATACCGTCGAGCGCTGTGCCATTCACCGCGAGTATCTCATCCGAGACCTTGAGCGTGCCCAGCTCGGCAGCCTGGCCGTTCGGGAGTATGCTCTTGATGAAGATGCCCATTTTGCCCTTGTTACTATCCATGCCGCCGACTATCGTGAAGCCGAGTCGCTTTACTCCCTTTTCTAGGGTCACTGTCATGAGGTCCAGGGACAAGCTTGTGGCGCGCCTCACGTTACTCGCAGAGCTGCGCTTGCGGACCTGCAAAGATACAAACAATATACAAACTCATCAGATTTTTTTTTTTTTTTCAAGGAAATTTAAATAAACGTCGTAAAAGACTAAGCATAATGCTTTGCTAAGTTAAACCTATTTTTTTTTTTTTTTGTTATTTTCATCGCGAGTTGAGGATGATCGGTAGATACAGAGATCACAATAAATACTTTCGAAATCTACTTTTTTGGAGGGTCCTGAATCACCTCAATCGGATTTTTTCAGTGTTTTTTTAAAGTCCTTTTTAAAATGAATCAATATATTCCAAAGTGGAGCTCTTCGATAAAATTAACAGCGTTTTCATTGGAGTTGACTTAAATTTAATTTTTTTCACATGAATAAGTAACTTGTACGAATGTAGAGGTACGAGAAAAAAAAAGGAAAACAAAAAGCCAATGTTATCTCTTGTATGGTTGAAATCCAACCGATTTTGAGCATAATTTACATTATATGACTCGCCATAAGCCAATCAGGTACCCGTGAAAGAGGCTTTGTTCCAGCGAGTAGATATTGCAAACAATTACCTGGAATTTTCTCATCCCGGTGACCTCCTCCCTGTTCTCGTTCTCCTGCACCAGCACGACGGTACGCCCGTCTTTGGTGACTCCCCCGATAACCTCGCACGTCTTGGACCTCTTGAGCGCTCGGCCGTTGTCTTTGCCCTCGGCATCCTCGCTCTTGCGCGCGTTTTTCACCACCATGCCGTTCTCCTCCGACATCTCGACCTCCTTGGTCTCGGCACCCGCCTCACTTTCAAACGTCTTGTCCACAACCATCGCCGCCCCGCACCCATCGGGCATCCCCCAAATCTCTGACTCGCTCCGCGAGCGAGTGATACTCTCGTCTAGGCTCCAAGCTTCGCCGAGCTCTTCCTCGTCGCCGTCGAAGAAACGAAAATTCGGCTGCCGGGCGATCTGAAACTCGACCAGCCCGACGCAACTCCTCAGCACCATCCTCGCCTCGGCCAGCGACATCCCCCTCAACCTACGCCCCGACACCCGCACGATCTCGTCCCCGATCCGAAAGAGCCTGGACAACGCAGCCGCCCCAGTCTTGCTCATGGACCCGACCACGTAGTACGGCCTGACGGCGTCGTACCGCTCCACCCCGATCCCGAGATCCCCCGGCCTCTCCACGTTGACTTTGACCGTTTTCAACTCACGGCGAGTCAGAGGCGTCTTTGGAGCCGGCGTCGGTGGCTGCGGCATCTCGAAGATCGGCCGCTTCACCCGGGGAGACGCGGGCCCCAGTGCGGAGTGCGACCGTTTCGGCGTGTACTCCGACACCGGCCGGCTTTTGCCGGTTTTCCCGGCCGGCGGCGAGTCCTTGCAGGGCGAGGCTTCGTTATCCACGAGCTTCATGTAACTGAGACTCCGCAGGTAGAGGGCGCTCGGCCTCTTCTTCTCGGGTGTGCGGAACAGCGCGCTCTGTGGGCAAAGAGCGACCTTGGCCGACGATTTCCTCGTCAGGGTAGAATCGCCGGAAATAGCGTCGTCGAGACTCCCCTCGGGTTTTGACGGCATCGGCTCGCTGTCCTCGAGGATCACGGTCGCGGCGTCGTCCTCGTCCTCGGCGAATTCTCCCGACCTTACTGATTTCTCGCTGGTACTCCGCATCCCGGGGGTACAGCGCTGATCCGATAGGCTCTTTGAGCTGCCGAAGGGCAGTTTTGCGTTGCCGCAGTCAGCTTGGCAGAAGGTGTGGCGCTTGGCGATCGACTTTCCGCTGTCAGGCGAGTCGGCGCCTGCACGCGTACTGTCCGAGTCATATCCGCTCTCGTCGTAGGTCAACCTTATGCCGCCGATCATCAGCTCCAGGTCGTTCACTTCGGACGTTTTTCGCCCGCTTTCGCGTCTGTAATTGGAACAACGATTATTTATTAACCACCGAACGAGGATTTTTTTTTTTTTTTAGTACTATCACGTTAGAAGCAAGTCCAATAACTCACTTGACGTTTTTGTTTTTGTCAGTGTCGCCAACTTTGGCTCGTCTCCTCAGCGTAGCCTTGCCCGCGTCCTCGAGGGTCTTCTGGGCGGCGGCAGCGCCCTCTTGCGTGTTGAGAACCTCGGAGTTCTCGATGAAAAAGTCCAGCACTCGCCTGTGGCGCTCCAGTTCCTGGATGCTGCGACTGATTTCTAGCCGGCGGTTGGCCAAGAGGCCGATCTGTGGCTCTGCCATGCCGTCACTGAAGGACCTTGTCATGTCGTAGTCGGCGTCATTTCTCTCCTCCCGCGTCGAGTTCTTTTTGCGAGACGAGAACGCAGAGTGCAGGGAAGTGGACGAGCTCGAGGCCTTGAAGAGGTTGCGCAGGGACTCGACGCGCCCGATGCGCTTCGGCTTGACGTAGTCCGACGGGAAGGTCGTGTTGTGCATCCTTTCGTCCTTTTTTACAAAATGTGGGTGTCATTTAGATTTTTCGTTGGAACAGATGCTTCATATAATAAAAGTCGATAGTATTTTTGTATTTATGTTACAATGCAAGCTATCTAAAAAGATTAATTTACATTTGAATTTTTGCTCGTTCATTCAAACGGTATGAGTTATAAAATTTGTACAATGGAAGAGCTGTAAAATACAATTTAAAATAAAACTGTCGACTTTAAATTGTATGCATTGAAAAAAATTTGCAGTAACGCATAAATTATGTGCACGTGCAATTGCATGAAAATATATTTACAGTAGAACAGAAAAAAAANGGCTGTAATCGATGTTTTTACGAAATTTGTGGTATTGTATCCGATTAGGCGAGCCAACACGACAACAACAATTAAAAAATTATTCAATCACTACTTCCCAACATATGGTAAACCTAATCGTATACAATCAGATCACGGAACTTAGTTCACCGCGAATAAGTGGCGGAAAACACTCGAAGAAGCCGGGATTAAAATTTGTTTTTCCTCTATACGACACCCACAAAGTAATACAATTGAAAGGGTGAATAGGGAGCTGGGACGATTCTTTTGAGAATTAGTCAAAAATAAACATAAAAATTGGGAAAACTGGGTAGATTTTATCCAAAATTGTATAAATGAAAGCCACCATGACACAACAGAATATACCCCTATAGAATTACAACTAGATACCTTGCCCATACGATTTTGGCATAAGCATATCGAGGCCACTGATAAAACACCAATACCCTACATTGATAAAGTTTACTTAGCAGCTAATAGAATTGAAAGAAAAGGAAGGAAAAGGGCAGATAAACATAACACACTAAAGAAACACACAGACTATAAGTTAGGAAGTCTAGTCCTGGTAAAAACAAACCCAGTATCGTTTTCGGAAAGCGGAATTACTGCTAAATTTTTAGAATTGTATGAAGGCCCGTATACCATCACAAAAATTATAAATCACTCCACCTTTATCTTAATAAACGACCAACATGAAATCAGGGGAATGTTTCATGGTATTGACTTGCGTCCTTATCTTACACAGAATGAGGACAAAGAGACAACAACAACGGCTCAACCGCAAAATAAAGCGGACTGACCAACGCCTAGAGACGTTATTACGGGAATTAACCCAACCACCAATGGACCCTGATCCATCAGAAGGTCCGGTTAACTCACCACAGTCATCTACTAAAAATCCGCCGCGAGAAACGAATACTGAGACACACGATGATTACATCGACATCGAAAATGACATCGCGATTGAGGACCTCGAGCGCCTCACAATATAATAAAAACAGCATGAGGTGAGGGAAAATGTGTTGTCAGTGTCGTCAGTAGTTTGGGACAAATATCAACCTTATAAGTATAAATACATACATAACAAACCCTTAATGGATGGGGAAAAATGCAGAAAGGAGAATCAAAAAAAAAATTGGAAAAATTGAAAGAAAGGGAGAAATAACTCCAAACGCTATACCATGGGCCATGTGACCAACAAGGACAGGTTGCCATGGCACGAATGGAAAGGGAAAAGGAGAAGCATCACGAAATGATGAAAATCCAGCAGATACGAGCGGAGCAATGGGTCTTGGGGCTCCCGCACCCAACAGATACTCAGGCTCCAATCGTCGCACCCTCTAAATCAATCCTCCCTACGATTCCCCTCCCCCCACTCCTACCGCAAACCCCACCACCCCTCCCGACTCATCTTTTTAATAAAACACCAACCAAAACCCCAATTAATAGAAGAAAATTACGAAACGCCCTCAACACACTTTTTGGTCCCCCACCAAGCAAAACCAAAATAACCGACTCCCGACTCTTTGACTGCGCTCCTGTTCGAATCAACCAACCTATCATCCCACCCACACAACCAAAAATCAAATCAATCGTAATCATCCCACCCCATTCCAAATTCAATCAACAAAACAGAAAAACAACACCTGAAAACACAATAAACACACCACCTGAACTCAAATTGCCACCCATAATCACACCCATTACTACACCTACAAAAACTATCACACAACTCCATCCCTTAAACAAGCCTCGACAACATCGCCTCCGTAAAAAGTTCAAGCCAGTAAAAAACATTCAGTAATACTTGAAACAAACCAATGTAAATAACAATAAATAAAGATCATTACTTCAAACCTAATTTGTTCAAAGAAAAACGTTTTTTTTTATTTTCACAAATTAGAGGGGGCAGATGCAACGGGTCACTTTTATCATCTAGAATTTATAATATGCGTTTTACATTTATATTTATATTCTTCTATTTATTATATTTTCTTATAATAAGAAATACGTCTAAAAGACAATTCAATAGAAAAAATTA